AGCAAAAATCACGAATCAAATGGCTACAAGAGGGTAAAGCTAACACAAAGTTCTTTCAGGCTAGTGTAAAGAATAAAAAAAAAGGCTAAATTATTGATCATATGGTACTGGAAGATGGGAGTGTTCTACATTCAGCTGATGAGGTCCATGACGGGGCTGTGCAACTCTTTAGTAATTTATTGTCTGTCTCTCCTATATCAATGGGTGCTAGGGATCTTGACTTATTACAATCTTCTATCACTGAGGAGGATAATTTTCATTATGTAAACCACCGGTGTTGGAAGAGGTACGTGAAGCACTTTGGTCTATTCTAGGGGATAGTAGCCCGAGACCTGATGGATATAGTGCTTGCTTCTTCACTTATGCCTGGGATGTCGTTAAGGAGGATGTTCTGGAAGTGGCCAAGGAATTTTTTAAAGGAGTACCATTGACCACTCCCTTCGGGGCAACTAATGTTGTACTTATTCCAAAGGTTGAACTCTCGAACAGCTTCAATAAGTTCAGACCTATTAGTCTATGTTCGGTGGTCTATAAGATTTTGTCAAAGATTATGATGGCTAGGATGGTGCCTGTGCTTGAAAAGGTGATCTCTCACGAGCAATCAGCTTTTATTCGTGGGAGGAGCATCTTTGATAATATCTCAAATGCTCAAGAAATGGTGCATAGAATAAACAAGAAAATAAGAGGTGGAAACATTTTAATGAAGACTGACATGGTAAAAGCTTATGATCGGGTTAATTGGGGCTTTCTTCTTGCAGTGCTAAAGAAGTTGGGATTTTCAGAGGAATGGAGAAATCTCATTTTTAATTGCATTTCTTCCCCTATTTTTTCAATCATGTTGAATGGGAAAACGAGAGGCTTTTTCAAGCCTTCAAGAGGCTTGCGCCAGGGAGATCCTTTGTCACCTTACCTGTTCATATTGGCACAGGAATTGTTGTCTCGAATGCTTAATCAAGATTTGGAATACGGTCAGTCTCAACCTTTTACTTCGGGTGGGATGGTCCTTCGTCATTTACTCTATGTAGATGATCT